TTTTGTTTTTGAATTTTAAGTTATTTTATTGGTTAATACTCTTCAACTTACAAGTTTACTGAAACCTTGTTGATATCCAAACTTTTCAAAAATAGTATAAGATAAAATAATGTGTAACAGAAACATTTATGCATGCCACTGTTTGAATTGCAATTTTTTTTTTAATTTTGCTACTGTTTGTTCACTACAATTATACTATGCAATTCAAACTATTTAAATACAACTTTTAATGAAATTTGTTATCAGCTGAATTATATTTTCCGTATATTAAATTTTTTTCATCAGGTTTTTTTTTTTGACAATTAGAAAAAACTGTTTTTTTGTTGTTCAACATTTATATTTATGAATTAGTTAAATATATGAATTAGTATTCATATATTTAACGTTTAAATTCCAATTTGTGTATTTCATTATAGGTGCAGATGTAGATATTAAATGTGACAATAGTGGTAGTATCCAGACAATTTTTTTTCAGGATGCAGAAATGAAGAGATTTTTTTCATTGTATCCTGAATTAATTTTAATGGATGCAACGTATAAGTTAACAAATCTACTTATGCCTTTGTATATTTTACTGGCGATGGGTCCAAGTGGAGAAAGTGAGATAGTTGCAATTTTTGTAACAGCGTCAGAGGATGCATTAACACTTACTGAGGTTCTAGAGATATTTAAATTAAAAAATCTAAAATGGACAGAAATAGTCACTATTTTTACTGATAAAGATATGGCCGAGCGTGACTCTCTGCGAACAACATTTCCCAATGCAGTATTGCTGTTATGCTTGTTTCATGTCTTGCGTGCAATGAGCAGAGAAGTGACTGTTTTGAAAATGGGCATTAGTGAAAGTCAAAGGTTATATGCATTAAGAGCGCTTCAAAAAATGGCATATGCATCGTCAGAATTACAATTTGAAAAACTTAATTGTGAATTTGTTGAAAAAATGCCAGACAGCGTGGTTAGTTACTTTGAAACCAACTGGAATAATTGCAAAACTGAGTGGGTATTTTGTTGGCAGCAACAAAATTTGACTTTTGGACAAAGAACAACAAACAGATTAGAATCTGTAAACCGAAGAATAAAATCTGTTTTAAACTTATTAAATCCTCTTCCAATATTTTTTAAAGATCTTTTTTCTGTTATAGATGTAATGCGTAAGGAGCGCAATCATAACTTTGTTATTGCTGGAGAGCGTATCTCTGTTAATACTGTTCTTGATAATGATGTTATAGAGGAGTTTTCTAAAATTTTAACACCTTATGCTTTAAGTTTTGTTAGAAGTCAGTTACGTGAAGCACTAGAGTTATACCCTGGAGGCGATAATAATAATCCAACATCTGAAATTTTAGGACAGGAGGTGTCAATAAGTGAGCTTAGTTGCCATTGTATTTTTTATAAATCTATGGGATTACCTTGCAAACACATGTTTGTAGCAAGGCGAATAAAGCAATTACCAATATTTTCATTTGACGGCATTTCAATATGATGGCTCAAATCTCATGCTACTGAAAATCATCGCCTTTTTCAACACCAAAACAAAAACCATAATCATCTAGGAATTGGTGTGTTAAAAGAAAGACCTTTAACACAAGCTGAAAAGTTTAAAAAAGCAAATCGTATCTCTCAGCGATTAGCACAGCTTGTTTCTGAAGGAGGGAAAAGTGAATTTGAAAGCCGAATAAACATCCTTCAAAATTTAGTTAATATTTGGGAAGAACATAAACATGCAGAGATAACTGTTTTGGACTCAGTGGATTTAATAATTGATACTACATCAGAATGTGCTATTAGTTCTATAAGCAACCATAACGTATTGTGTGATTCAACAAAAAAAGCATTTGTTTCGTCGACAAGTAACATGGATTTGATTTTAACATGCAATGAAACCTTAAATAAGAATAATATGCATCCATTAGAGGTTTCAAACTCTGATATTTTAGAATTTCATGATGCACCTGACTTCATCTGTAGTTCAAATTCTCATATTTCAATAAATGAGTATGAAATGCAACCAATTGCAATAGATATGGATTTACCAAATTGTTTAATCGCAATCAAAAAGCCGTTACATTTAGAGCAATTGTCTGTAGATTTACACCAAGACAATTTAGAAAAAAATGGATTGAATTTTGCCGAAATATCTAGTCAACATCATAATGATAATAATCAAGTTTGTGATCAAACTTTGATTAACATAGTTAGTAAAAATCTGATAGAAGACAGTGAATTTGGGGTAAGAAGTTTTTGTTTTTCATTTTTTATTGTTCTTTTATTATCTTTCAACAAAATTAGTATTACTATTTATCGTATTGTCAATGTTTATTATTACAGTTGTCTTTTACCATTTTTCATTGTTTTTAAAAAGTTTATTTTTCTGTAAAATACCATTTGAAATAGTTAGCAATGCTTGTGTAGATTTTGGTTATAAGTTTTAATAAAAACAGTAATTGTTAAACCAAAGTTAATTAAATCTTTTAGGCAAGCAAAAATCTACATGATTCTTTAAATATTCATTCAATCAATATTAAAGATCTAAAATTTCCTCGAAAGATTAAGTCACGAGGAAGGCCTAAGGCTAAAGAGAGAAAAACTGCAGTGGGTTTATCTAGATGGAAAAGAAAGTGTTTATCTTATATTGATAAAAGTGTAGCCGGAAAAATAAGTGGTTAGTTTTTATGAATTAAAGTAATCTAAATTCTATCAGCTTTTAAACAATATATGACTATATATATTTGCAATCTGTTGCTATCTAGTTCTTTTGGGTGGTATTCTCATGAAGAAAAAAATAGAAGATGTTACGCGTGAAATGCAAGCAGATGTGGGCGATTTAGAATTAAAGGCTGGCAATCTTCCTTCTGCATTTTTAAATGATGGTTTTACAATAGATATTTTAAAACCATATTTAACCAATCTTGCCTGGAATAGCCTGCAGAAATCAATTTTGCAGCAAAAGAAACTGGGCGTATGGAATTGTCCGTTATGTACTTTAAATACAGCTTCCAGTGAAAGCATTGAGTGTGAAAGCTGTTTAGAATGGTTTCATTTCAAATGTCTTAGCATTTCAAAGAAGCCAAAGAAGGAGTGGTTTTGTGACAAATGTCATAATATATTAAATAAAAGCTAATAAAAATTAAACAAACAAAAGAAAAAATCTATATATATAATTTAAAAAAAGAAAACTGAAAAAAGAAAATTTAAAAAAGAAAATGTATAATG